ACAGAGGATGAAGTGCAGAAATGAGGGGTATTGTTTCCCCCTCATGGAGATTAAAAGAGGCACAGCTACCCCATTGTCAAAAAGTTTTAAGAGAACTGATTGCATAAACTCTTAGGACGCAAGTATTCATCTATTTACAAGTATCTCAAATAATTTATGCTATTGACCTGAATTACTTGTGCTAGCATCCCTCAACAGCGTCTGCTCTTTGCCTGGCCTGACTGTGCTTACTTAATGACTGTCTCAGTCATTAAGCGTAATGCTAAATGTAATACCATTTAAATGTTCGCTTTTTAAGCGCTTAACATGGTCTGGGAGGGAATCAGGTGTATGCAATGACCATAAGGCTGTTGTTTCACTCATAAATCTCCACTGAGCAGAACTTAAATAAATGGCAAAATACGAGTCAGTCTGAAAGTCATTGGAATGAGTAGAAAAATCCTTCTTTTTAACAAAAAAAAAATATGTACTGTATAGTAGATAGTAAAAACCTTCAACACCAGCAGTGGTGAAATAACCACAAACCAATTGTTTCTCCATTGCAACATTTCCTTTTAAGTAACAATGTGCTAATAACTTAGCCAAGCCATTTTAGCGAGGCAATCCTTAAAAACTTCCTTTTAAGGTGTCATACAACAGTCTGTCCTTCCTAACCACAATTTTCTCATCATACTAAATGCAAGAAGCAATAGCAGCATTTAACGAACAAACCGGCATTTGCTGATCATGGTCAACTCTTGCTTGTGAAATACCCAGGTCATATTGCATGCCCAAGTTCATGTCAAAAGTACCCAGAGGATCCTGCTCACAGTGCCATGCAGATTTTTAGTGTAAAAAGCTGTGAGTGTATCCGTGCACGCAGAACTGTTTTCACACATGCACATGTTCTAGACACACACATCCTGCAAATACAGTCTTTTTTTTCCAGAAAGTTTTTTGCATCTGTGTGCCAATCTCTAATGGACTTAGTTTAACAGAATCCAGAAAGAGAAATGAAGGAGGTGCATAAAGAAAAGGGAAAACCTACAACGATCATATAAATTTGATAACTTTAAAAAAAAAAAAAAAAAAAAAAAAAAAAAAAAGATTTTATCAATCTGTACTTCTACTAAGGAGTCAGCAATTTGTTTCATAGTCTCACACTCAAAATAATTTCTCAGCTTCTACCTGTCACCTCTGTGTCATTACCACTGAGGCATGAATCACACCTGCAAGCATCTTGTTTGTAAGGTAGAATTAAGAGTGCTTGTCCACAGAATGGGACAGTATGCTGGATTCATGTTCTTAGAATAAATGAGCAGAGCCACGTAGTGAATGGAGCTTGCAAAGAGGTATTCTTTGCTGATGAGTGGGCAGCTGTAACTGGAAGTTACAACTTCCAAATAACGTCTTTACTCCATTCCAGTGGAAGGGATGTGTGCGTAAGAGGGAGAGGTAGGGAAATACCTTTAAATATAATAGGTTATAAATAACAGGTCATGTGTGACTATGTGGGAGTTGGCTGGGAAGCCTGGCATAGGTTCAGCCCAGTATGTGCGCCAGTGTGTTTGATTCATTCCTGGGTGCTTGTCCCCTGGTACTTTATGAAGTTCACACAGTAGTATATGTCAGTAATATGTCACTGTCAGTTTCCTGTCTGGAATGAGCCATCATATTCCTGCCAAGATCCTGAGGGAAAATCTGAGCCCAGCTAAGAGGGGAGTTTACCCTTACACAGACAGTATGAGTGCTGACTGTTCCAAGTTTGGCTGCCTGCAAAGCTGGGCTATTGTGAACTTCAGGAATAATCCTCTGGGAATTTCCTAGCAGGCTGTGCCCTGCTAGTTAGGGCACGTTGAATAGAAAAGGAAGAGAAAAAATAAGAACTATGTATTGGACAATATGTAGGGCCTAGAGGAGATCTCAGCCAAGTGCTTTTCCATGTGGACTTGACCCATCTACATCAGAGGGTGTCAATAATGAAGAGCATTGACATTAGTCAGTCCATACCACTATTCCAGGGTCCCAACTCCTGCCCCAGTGTGGTTCACAAATATAGTAATAGCTGCAGAAAACCACTTGACTTCCAGCATCTAGAATAGCAGGAGTGATTTTGGTGATGAAATTCCTTGCTGAATTATCCAACAAAGGAATGAGAGGGGAGACAGAATAGTTCAGACTTCCCAGGGAACTGTGATGGTCTCCAGTGAGTGATGGCCAGATGGTTGTTACATCGTGTTTTAGGGATATGAATGGAAGAGCTATTCTCAGAAAGAATAAAGGGGCAGAAAAAGACTGATTTCCCATCGTCAAAAAAAGGCACAATTATTCATAGGTGACATTTGATAGAAATCAAGTATTGCTGTAGATTATTACAGAGTTGGTGGGGAAGAGAAAGCTAACTGAAAGAAGGGTCAAAAGTAATAACGAGGGTAATTACTACAAATCATGTCCTTTGCTGTTCAGTGCTGAACTCTTCCTCCTGTATATTCATTTCTTTAACACAGTTACTGGAGTGAGGGAAGAAATCTGCATATTACTAGAAAAGGTTGTCATGAGTTATGCAACTGAACCAGTCTGCAAAAGATGATTCTGATACAGCTCATTCTGTGTACATGAAACAAAATACTAATATGGCTTAGAACTTGCTTTTTGTGAGCTCCATAATAATCTTTTCTAGCTGACCACCAAGCATATCAATTGCCTACCTGTGTACATGTATTCTTCTCATTTACAGCTGCAACGTAAGCTCTGCAACTATCATTTTGCTTACAGGAAGGTGTGTGGGTCAGATGCATTCTGCTTGACTACTATTCTGACTAGGGCTAATGTTTCTCCATAATTCATCTCTCATTCTCAACCTTTGCCCATCATCTTTAATACACAGGTCTGGTATGTATCATTCATAAGTTTTACAAACAAAGCAAAGGAGAAGCCTGCAAGGCAACTTAGCCAGAATTAGGAATATAGCACAGGAAGCTGCTGCAACAGAAACAACTTGTTTTCCTTGTCATGCTGTCTTCCACAATATTCACAGAATATTCACAGAATCACAGAATCATCTAGGTTGGAAGAGACCTCCAAGATCACCAAGTCCAACCTCTGACCTAACACTAACAAGTCCTCCACTAAACCATATCACTAAGCAATGCATCTAAACATCTTTTAAAGATATCCAGGGATGGTGACTCAACCACTTCCCTGGGCAGCCTATTCCAATGCCTAACAACCCTTTCAGCAAAGTTCTTCCTAATGTCCAACCTAAACCTCCCCTGGCTCAATTTAAGTCCATTTCCCCCCCATCCTGTCACTAGGCATGTGGAAGAATAGACCAACCCCCACCTCACTACAGCCTCCTTTAAGGTACCTGTGGAGTGCGATAAGGTCGCCCCTGAGCCTTCTACGTATTTTCCCTAATGTACTGTTTATAACTATACTATCATACCATCAGGTACCAAAAACAATTACGCCATTGACCTATGGGACAATACCCAGTACACCACTGCTATCAAAAAAAAATAAATAAATAAATAAAGAGAGAGAGAGAGAGAGAGAAATGTGACCATATATGAATTGACAGCTATCTTAGGAATAAGTAATGACCTTTTTGTTTTTCTTTCAGTCATTGTAACTAATCTTTCTAATAAAGAGAAAAGGGTTGCTATGTCTCCAATTATAGGCTCAAACACTACCAAGAATGTATTCTAAAAATTGTTAGTGTGTCATTGAAGAGAATGTAGAGTATGGGAAGGAGAAGGTAGCTTAACATCTGAAACCTTCACAGTTTGGACTTAATATTTTAAAATCAGATTCTAAAATAAAATAAAGTATAAAATAAAATAAAATAAAATAATAAAATAAAATAAAATAAAATAAAATAAATAAAATAAAATAAAATAAAATAAAATAAAATAAAATAAAATAAAATAAAATAAAATAAAATAAAATAAAATAAAATAAAATAAAATAAAAATTAGGAATTAAAGTTATATCTTTGAAAAATCACAGTTGGATATATTGCATGTGATAAAACTATGGTCCCCCCTGAAATTAAATATCATTAATAAACAGAGATTCACAGCAGCAGTGTGAATTATACCCAGGTAAAAACTGTTTCTTCTAATAAAACCTTTTTATAGGAAATATGAATAAAATAGTTGTATGTGAAATGGATACAACTTTCGCTTCTAGACTTTTCAGAAATCATCCAAACTTGAGAACAGAACTATTTGGGCTGCTGAATACTATGCCCAGCCAATTAAAACTCTGCAGCTGGGAATACGTACAGCTGTGGCCAGCCCAGTATACTGGGTCTCAGTTAGAGGCATGCTTATGACTGTGCAGTGAATACATCAAATTTCACACATGGTTTCAAAGAAGCATCAGAATTAGTGTATTTCTTTTTTGCCAGAAAATGGAACTGCCTTCAAAGCGTGTGTAAAAATTTTTCTCCTTGAAATGAAGTGAAAGATATTTGTGCACAACTGCATGTTGCCATCCAAAAATAATAGTATACCAGTTGGAAACAATGGTAGCTATTTTATCACAAATCACAAAAGTATTTATCATCTCTGCAGTGTGTCATGCAAATATGACATTGAGTGTTTGTCTACTTAATGTTGTTAAACAGTAATTATGTGATAAATGAAAAATTGGTTCTTTAAATTTTGCATGATTAGATTTGGACAGAGACAATAGCTTGTTCATTGTTTTGCAACTACTACACTGCAGAGAAAAAATAATGTAATTACACTATGAGGTACATTCATTGTTTTTCTATTCGGGGAAATAAACTAAACTAAACTATTTACATGGTATGCACTCTGATTAGCCCCAGCAAGAGACAATGACCTTCTTCTTCCTCAGAAGACCTGGAAACAGGCCTTCTGTGCAAGGGCATAAATTCTTCTGATCCTCATTTAGACCTGTGATAGATTCAGAAACATGGGGAGCAAAGGAGGCTATTGAAGCTCCACCCCCCCCGCCCCCACCCCCCCCACAGGAAATGTAGCAAACTGGCAACTTTACAACTAGATTTTTAAAGAAGTGAAAAGCATCACACATTCCTTGAGTCAACAGAAGTAGAGGCAGCCATTCAGAGGAAACCTCCAAAAGCTGCTCTTACAGGACATATTGATCAGATATGGGCCAAGGTGAGCTGTGGTGCTCTGTTATTTTCTTACATTGACACCTCATATTCAGCTCTGTAATGGTCACTGAAGGATCACTATTCTAAGGTTTATTGATCAAAAAAAAGGGGGGGGAGGGGCTTTTGTTTGCTTGTTTGTTTTTCCACTTAATGTGCATATGGAAAAAAAAAGCTTACGAGAACAAAATTTGGGAGACCAGATATTATCCAATATAGACATGTTGCACTTTGCAAATAGTAAGGAAAGGAATTCTGCAGCTATTTGAAGTTGTCAGATGAGTGCAAATGAATACTGACAAATCTGACACAGAAGGCAACACAGATCTTGGAGAAGTTATCATTGAAAAGGCTGACGGAGGCTACAATGAGAAGAAGAGGTTGATACCTGAAGTTAAGGCTGAGAGGATACAAAAATTTAAGGATTTTGTTTGTCTGTTTTTTCTGTTTGTTTGGTTGGTTGGTTCGTTGTGGGGTTTTTGTTTGTTTGTTTTTGTTTTTTACTTGCTAGTATTTATACATAAGCAGTTTGCCCAATCTAGTAATTATTATAAATTGTCCCATTTATAATAGTCTTTGCCTTTCTAAAGACAAGTCTCCCCTACCTCTGGGCTTGCTTTACAACAGATGTGCTTCATTGCTAAGTTTCTGAATTCTTTTTTTTTTTTTTTTCTTAACATAAGTATGTTCCTGAAAAAAAATCAAAGTACCTGCTGCTTGCCTAGATACTATGAAACACGCTCCCCCCATTTAAACTGTGACTACCTTGCTAAGTTATTTGCTATAGTTATTTCAAGGCTTGCCTAAACTTCATAAGCTTAAGATCATGCTGAAAAAAAAAAAAAAAAAATCTTTCTGTGGGTGAATCTGTTTGACCATTGCATAGTAATTTTTTACTCAGTAACAGCACAGGGTACTTCTGTTCCACTACTAAGAACTACACTGTTACTCTTAACTGTTATCCCTCTTTTTGGGGGTGAGTGGAGGAAGAGGTGGATAGAGATTAATAAAACAATTTAAAGAAAACATACAGTGCCATATTTTTCTTCTGTACTGCTGCACTTCATTTCCACCATCAAGGTGTCTTCTACTAGTTAACCTTCCATAGACTGCTGATGTCAGAGCCAAACCAACCTCAAATACCTATTCTCTGGCCTCTGACGAAGCCATAGCTCACACACAGGAGCTTTCTGCGGCTTATTTCACATACATGACTTTAGTAGTGCTCTCTCTCCAATTCTGTCATTTCTCCCACTGCCAAATGACAGCCCAGTGTCCATCAACACATTTTTGGTAAGTGCTTCCAAAAGATAGTGGCTGGTAGTTATATCAGAGGTACATGTAACATAAACACGTCTAGAGATTACTTATCACAATTTAAAATGCAGAAAACTTTCTCAGGTCATTTAGGTTTCTTTGTTTCTTGTTCTGAGACAGCAAATCTGTGACTTTGTTAGTATAACATCAAGTCATGGAATGAATGAAACCTTGAAAGAATTAGCAGAGTTCAGCTGGACTCCTTATTCAAGTAACTCACGAGTATTCAATTCTCTCATGGTTCTCTCCTCTTAGATTTCTTTCCGATTTTTCTTTACTACTGGCTATACTTCACCTTTTTTACTGAATTTTGCAGATAGTCTCTAACAGTCTCTGCAAGGTGGAGGATTTCCAAAAGAAATAAATAATATGCTTATAATTAAATTATTTGTATTTGTGGTGCAAACCTCACATGGCTACTAGTCAGCTATAGAAAGTAACATGCAATTTGTAAGAGTGTTTGTGTGCCTCTTCCTCATTTTAAAATCTTGGATGTACTGTAAAACTTTCTTGCTCTTGTCACTTTTTCATAGCTGCAACACAGCCAAGTACCAATTGGCACCTGAAAGAAAATACAAGAGATCACCACACAAGTAAATTTTCTAGCAAAGAGTTGATTGTGAGGAGAGGTCAAGCCTTTGTTGTCACCTTCAGTGGAATAGAACAGCCTGAGCAAAACTTAACATTCATCGCAGAAACAGGTATGGCTCCCAACTTCTTTCACAGAAATTGTAATGCCACATAGGCCACATTCTTCTGGCCTGGTATGTGCTCTATGGTAGCAAGATAATACCTCAGAATCTCCCTGCTGCTTTTACATAGGCATGGAAATCTTTGAGTTCTTTGTTGTATTACTCCCTCCCCAGCTAGCAGTGATAGTGTCCTTCAGTTTCAAACATGTGGCAAATTCATCTGAGGGGAGGGTTACACCTCTGCTGAATTTCTTGACAACTAAATTTCAGTAAGCTGGAAAAAAAAAAAAATAATAATAATAGTTTATTTTCCTTAAAAGGTCCAAAACCCTCAAAGCAGGCTAAGACCCAGGCCACATTTGGTATTTCCAGCACAGTGAGTAAGGAGAATTGGAGTGCAGTTCTGCAGTCCACCAGTTCCAACTCTGCAAGCATCGCCATTTCCAGCCCAGCTAATGCTGTCATCGGACGTTACAAGCTGAGTGTTCAAAGTACTTCAAGTGGCAGCTCATCTCCAGCAACCCTTGGCACTTTTGTTTTGCTCTTTAATCCTTGGTCTTCAGGTATGAATATGTTGGCATTCCCCTGAAAGAACTCACTCATTTGTAGTTTGATTAATAATTGTAGCTTCTCCGTTTGATCTATACTTCAATACAGGGGCTGAACATTCACCAGATAATCTAGTACTGAGAAAAGCAAAGCATATAATAGTTTCTTAGGACCAAAACTCTGGAGGTTTTGGATTTATTTTGCCTGCTGTGGTGGTACATGCTTCTGTTTTGTCTTTTCAGGTGATGATGTGTTCATGTCTAACAAGGCTGAGTGTGAGGAATATGTGCTGGAAGAGTTTGGCATCATTTTTTCTGGCAATACACATCATATCAACAGCTTTGGATGGAACTTTGGCCAGGTAAACACAGCACTGAAACACCAGACAGTGTTTTGTGCTCTAGTTTTCACATAAGGTGGGTGACCAGCTTGTTTGCTTTTTCCAGTTCATCACAGTCATACACCTCTTAAAAGCAGGGGTCTAGTATTGCAATTAGAACCCCTGTCAAGCCCTGTCATGCTGATTAATAAGAAAACTTGTAATTGACCAATCAGTTATACGATCTAGGATTCAGAGATGCAGCCAGTAGAAATCCCAGTGTCTGCTGGGTAGTATTGTGTAGCAACACTGTATGGCACAGGCTTGGCCTTTAGTCCACAGATTCTGACTTTTGAAAAGCTCTTTGAATTTTAATACTTCTGTTTTTTTGAGGCTGTGATTTTATGTGCAATTCCTGGATGAGCTGCTAGATTTATTTTAGAGATTAATACACATTAAATGCTTATGTAGCTCTACTTATCCTGATTTTTAGCACAGTATCGTAATCTGTGGTTCCAATACACTAACTTATTTCTATAACATAGTTTCAAGGAGATATTCTCAATATTTGCCTTTCCATGCTGGATCGAAGCTTAAACTACCGTCAGGATCCTGCCACAGATGTATCTCACCGAAATGATCCCAAATATCTGGGCCGAGTTCTCAGCGCAATGGTAAGCAATGTGTTCAAAAAGTCCAAACTACTAAACATCATTTTAAAATAGTTAGTTAAAGGATGTATGAAGAGACTTCTCAGAAAATTTTAGGCCACTGTTTGTATATACCAGAAACATAGGTCAGAGAAATCCCTACGTAGCTGTCTGATCTAAGCCTTCTAGATTTATGTCATCTGTGGTATGTCTGATACTACAAACTTTAATATCCAGTAGTCAAACTGAAAGTTAAGTTGTGGGGTGGTATGCTGAGGGCCCAGTGCTTTAGAGGTCTTTAGTCCAATTTCTCCATTTGAAGTGGGATGTGGTGGCTCTAGATCAGGTAAGCCATGGATTTGTCAGGTATTCTTGAAAATCTCCAAGGATGAAAAATTTCATTGCCTCTCCGGGTGACCAGTCCAGAGCTGCCGTAGCCTCTTAGGGATTAATTTTTCTCTTATGTCCAATATGGTTTTCCCAAGCTACAACTTAATACTGGTGCCTCTTGTTATATAATATGCCAGTACAGAGAAAAGTTGGACTCAATACTTGTTGGACTCAGAAATGCTCCTCATTATTTATGAGGACACATACATGTATTTTATTTCCCTGAAAAGATGAGACTTCCTCCGGAAGACCAACTTCAAGAAGCAGTGACTTTTGTCCACTAAAATGTCATTCAATGCTTTTCTCCTTTCCTACTGCCACTTAATCTATTATAAACTCTTAATTTGTCTTATAAATTCAGTGAATATTTTTACAGGTCAATGGCAATGATGATCAAGGAGTGGTACTAGGAAACTGGAGTGGAAATTATGAAGGTGGGAAAAGTCCAAGCAGCTGGACTGGAAGTGGTGAAATCCTGCAAAACTGGAAGAAATCAGGATTCAAGCCTGTTAGATATGGACAATGTTGGGTTTTTGCAGCAGTACTGACCACAGGTATGCTTTATGTAATGCATATAAAGACAGTGCACAGATTCTGTTAAAATAAATAAATAAATAAATAAATAAATAAAAGAATTACTAATAACACTTTCAATATGAAAGTCTATCCAGACATTAGTATGAAACAATACGCTGGAATACAGTGTTTTCTGACTATGGGTTTCTATTTGATCTTTAGTGCTTAGATGTCTGGGGATTCCCACTCGAACAATTACAAATTTCAGCTCTGCCCATGATGCAGATGGGAACCTGCGTGTGGATGAGTTTTATGATGCTTCTGGAAATCATTTGGAGAGAGGAGCTGACAGTGTCTGGTAAAGTTCTACAATACTTAATAATAGAATCTATTAGTGATTATAGTTCTTCAGGTACAGAACATATATTCTAATGACCAATGCTGCATCAACTTCTTGAAAACTGACCTAAAAACAACTGCACACACAGGATCAACAAAAAATCAGAGAACTACAAAATTTGGTATTTTCACTCTTTCTTAATTAAGCATGACTAACAACAGCAAATTGAAACCAAGGCAAAGTTGTAGCTAGTTATGACACAAATGACTGAGAATTTGGGATATTACACTGGAAATATCAAATAGTGGGACTTCATTTAGTTTGGAACTATTCTTCAGAAGCAGCTCCTGTTATACTATTAAAGTTTTGACAGAACCTGTCCCCCTTCCTCTTTTTTTTTTCCCCTGCAGTGAAGTCATTTGCAGTGAAAATAATTTAATTATCACTCCTGAGCATCAAATGCAATTGAAACAAGTTTGCATTCAGCAAGGAACAGGTGTACCCCTTCACTTCTTGCCTTGATTACTTCCCTGCTTGTTTTGAAACCATCCTAAATATAGGAACAGAAATAACTGTGTCATTGTGCTACAATGAAGACACCTGAAACTAAGAACATGCACAAACTCAGAACTTTTCCGGGAAGGAAAAAAAAAAAAAAAAAAAAAACGGCTCAGTAATTTGTATATAATTTCACAAATTTGCTTTCTCCCCTTGAACATTTATGTCTGTTCCACAATGCAATTTTCAGCTCCTGCCTAATTAAGATAGCTAGGATCAGAGTAGAAGTGGTCGGTTTAGAATTTATAATTTAAATTTAGAAATTAAAATATTCAATACATTTAACTAAGATGACTGATTAATGGATGTGAATAGGAATTTGGAAACACATAACAGTGGTTTACTTTGTCCATTCATGAATGTAGGAATTTCCATGTCTGGAATGAAAGCTGGTTTTCCCGCAGTGACTTGGGCCCCTCATACAGCGGATGGCAAATTCTGGATGCAACTCCCCAAGAAGAAAGTGGAGGTACACAGATTTAATTCCAGGAATAATGACAAAAAATTATGAAGTCAGCCACTTTCTGAGAGAAAAGGAAATTATAAAGCCATTGTAAAAGTAATTTATTTACCTGCTCAGAAATAGTGACAGTACCTGTCTAAGTAAAAAAAGCCTCTGCTCTTATGGGGCTGCCAAGAAACAAACTATGCTTCTAGGAGCAGTTTTTTGTAGCTGTTCCTGTATTTCCAATATAGGCATCCAGAGCTATTGAAGATTGATGAATACTAGAAAAACAAATCAAGTGTATTTTCAGAACAAATCACACATTGGTGATCAGCCTGGTATGAGGATCTGCTTCTGTAAGGTTTTTGACATGGTCCCACATGACATCCTGATCTCCAAATCGGAAAGATATGGCCCAGAAGGCCAACTGTGTCCTGGGCTGCATCAACAGAGGGGTGACCAGCAGGTCAAGGGAAGTGATTGTCCCCCTCTACTCTGCCCTCATGAGGCCCCACCTGGAGTACTGCATCCAGGTTTGGGGCCCCCAGCACAAGAAAGATGTGAGTCCAGAGGAGTGCTACAAAGATGATCAGAGAGCTGGAGCATCTCTCCTGTGAAGAAAGGCTGAGAGAGCTGGGGATTCTCAGCCTGGAGAAGAGAAGTCTCCAGGGATACCTCATTGTGGCCTTTCAGTATTTAAAGGGGGGTTATAAAAAGGATGGAGAAGGATTCTTTACTCGGGTAGATAATTATAGGAGAAGGGCAAATGGTTTTAAACTAAAAGAGGATAGATTTAGATTAGACGTTAGGAGGAAATTCTTCACTGTAAGGATAGTGAGGCACTGGAACAGGTTGCCAAGAGAAGTTGTGGATGCCCCATCCCTGGAGGGTGTTCAAGGCCAGGCTGGATGGGGCCTTGGCCAACCTGATCTAGTGGGTGGTATCCCTGCCCATGGCAGGAAGGTTGGAAGTAGATGATCTTTAAGGTCCCTTCCAACCTGAGCCATTTTATGAGTGGGACACCAGCACTTGGTAATTCATGGGTCATTGGTAAATATCTGTCTAGTAAGCTGCTTACTGTGAAACCATTGACTAGTTCCACATTATTTTTTCTTGATCCCATAGGAATTTATCAGTGTGGTCCTGCCTCACGGAATGCCATCAAAGAAGGAGACGTAGAATTGGACTACGATTGCCCATTTGTATTTGCAGAAGTGAATGCAGACCGTATGTACTGGAATTATGACCCTGCAACTGGAAAGAAAACATTAATATTCTCTAAGACTACAACAATTGGCCAGTTCATCAGCACAAAGGCAGTTGGTAGAGATGATCGTGTAGATGTCACCAGTGATTATAAATATGAGGAAGGTAAATATAATAATAATACTTTAGTTCTATAGTTGCTTCATTCCACAGTTGACATAAACTTCAGGATAGGAATCCCTTGGTGGGCAGTTTTGGGCATCTATAAGGTGGGAGCATAATTCGTTCAGCTGCTTCATTTCTAACATAAAAGGGAAGAGAAGGGAAAGAGTAAAAGATGATGCCTTGCCCTTTCTGATACATAGCTGCTTTGTGGGACCTAAGTAAGGCAAGTCCAAACAACTTCGAGTAAAGCATTCACTGTTCTGCCTGTCTATGTTAATGTGCACTGACTGCCTCTGCTTTGTGAGAATTAGCCTACAATCCACTTATTTGACAGCAAGAATGAAAGGCCTGTGACAGAAATCTAAGCTAAATCAACATTTAGGTCCAAGAACAGCTACTCTTTCAAAGGGTCATACAGTATGCAAACTTGTCAGATCTTTGGTTTTGATAGTGCAGAAAAAAATATGATAATCATGAACTTTTGCAAGTGCAAAGAATGAACACTGTTATTGGAAATACATATATGAAGGGTAAAAAGCAAGATGAAGTGGAGCCCAAATAACTAGCTTCCACTGTATATTGGGTCTGGCTGAGATAGAGTTAATTTTCTACGTAACAGCCCCTATGGTGCTGTACTTTGTATTTGTGGCTACATATTGATAACACAACAGCATTTAGGGTATTCCTGAACAGTGTTGCATTGTGTCAAAGCTTAAATTCTCCCTCTCCCTTCTCCCCTGTCCCAATGCATAGACTATGGGTGGGCAAGAGATTGTTAGGGGACAGAGCTGGGAGAGCTAGTCCAAACTGAACAAAAGGATATTCTGTGCCATACAACTCAGCAATAGAAGTTCAGGGAAAGGAAAAGGAGGACTGGGGAGATATTTGTGGTTGTGGCATTTGCATTCTCAAGCCTCTGCTGAGGCCCTGCTTTCCAGGAAGTTGCTAGGCATCTGCCTGACAGTGGGGAGTAGCGAATGAGTTCCTTTTTTTTCTTTGCTCATGTGCAGCTTTTGTTTTTCCTTTTAAACTGTCATTATCTTGGCCTGTAAGTCTTCTCACCTTCCTTCTGTTTTCTCTCCATCCTGCAGGAATGGGGAGTGAGTGAGGGGTTAGACGGTTGTTTGGCTGTTGGACAGAGTCAACCTAACACACAGTACCATAGCCATTCCCTTATATTAGGGTCCTTTTCTGTATCAGCAAATATGAATTTACATTTTTAGATGTTACAACCATTAAGAAACATAGAAAAGGGAAGGGTAAGAAACTTTGGGCTTAAGATTTTGTGTTACAAAAAGATGCTATTACAGGAAAAGTGACATTGCTGGCAGCAGATCTAGAAAATTAAGTGTGGCAGTAGAAAACGCAGGCTCTGTTCTTCTCTAAGAACAGACACTAAGTTCAGCTGACTAGTCTCTAGGTGTAATGTAAAAGAAGAGATGTGTATTAATTGTTGAGGGTAATTTTCATGGTTCTTTCTAACAGGCTCTAGAAAAGAAAGAGATATTTTTAAAAAAGCCCGTAAGAAGCTGGGACTTGAAGATAAATTTGATCCTACAGCACCAACACCAAAGGAAATTGAACAAAAGCCTGATATCTCAGGGAAGTTCAAAGTGGCTGGTCCTTTAGAAGTTGGCAAAGATCTCAATCTGATTCTGGTTCTTGCAAATTTACAGTCTGATGTTAAGTCTGTTCATGTAAATATGACCGCTTGGAGCACTGTGTACACTAGAAGACCAGTTCGTGAGATCTGGAAAGACTCCATATCTGTTACTCTGTCTCCTGGAGAAGGTAATATTTCAAATTAAAAAAAAAAAAAAATCACACAATTCTTATTAAAAGTTATCAGTAAGCAGGCAGTAGAAGTCGGTCAACTTGGGGGAAAAAGACAAACTGTAATCTAAAAGTTCTATACAGAAGAGGCTGAAACAGCCAAAAATATACTGCACTTATAAACAGATTAAAAAGACATGTTTCACCTCATCGTTAGGAATTGCAATCTCAGTGAATAGACTAGACAAGACTAGAACAGTTAAGTTGGAGGGGACTTTCACAGATCGTCTAAGTCCATCTGCCTGACCTCTTCAGGGCTAACCAAAAGTAAAAGTACATCTTTGAGGTCGTTGTCAAACATCTCTTGAACACTGGCAGGCACAGGACATCTACCACCTCTCTAGGAAGCCTGTTCCAGTGTCTGACCACCCTTATGATAAAGAAATTTTCTCTTATATCTAACCTTCCCTGGCACAGCTTTATGCCATTCTCCTTCCTGTCATTGGTTGCAAGGGAGAAGAGAACAGCACCTCCCTCTCCACTTCCCCTTTTCAGGAAGTTGTAGAGAGCAGTGATATTGCCTATCAGCCCTCTCCTCTCCAGAGCAGACAACCAAAGTATCCTCAGCCTATCCTCGTAGGAGATGCCCTTCAGCCCTTTTACCAGCTTAATTTCCCTCCTTCGTACATTTTCAAGGACTTGAACATCCTTTTTATACTGGGGAAACTAGAACTGCATGCAGTATTCAAGGCGATTCACACCAACACTAAACATAGTGAGAAAATCACCTCTTTTGACTGGCTGGCTATGCTGCATTTAATGCATCCAGAACATTCAATGCATCCTAAAATGCAGTTTGCTCCCCCCCCTCCCCCTTTTTTTTTCCTGCCAGGACTCACTTGCTATGTTAAACCATTGGCTGAATATAGTCAGCAGGGAGAGTTTTCCACCAAGTCTGATGACAGGGGCCATTTTTGCTCCCTTCTGTCAAGTGAGGTATGCTCCATTTGCTAGGATGTGTACTTAATAAATCTTGCTACTGGCTGAATCTAGGAAATTCAGTGTCTCCGATTTGTTGCTTGCTTTTGTGAGACTTTATGCTGGTGACTTGTCATCTTTTCTTGTGTTTTTCATCTGCTATACACTGCTGAAAAACACTTTGTGGCTCACAATGCCTGCATGTAGCATGGATGCTCTACAGTTCATCTGAACTTGACATCTATTGTATGAATGGCCACTGTGGAATTACCTGGACTCAAAGACAAGAGAGAGCCTTGCCAATCCAATGTCCCTTGATTTGAATTACAGCATGGAAACTACTGTAAAAACACAAGAATAACAAATAGTGCTAGGAAAGAAAAAGGGAATGTAAACACAGCATTTAACCTACATCAGAGCAGCTAGGACTGATGAGGCCTACCCAGAGAGCATCCCATAACAAATGTAGTGATGTGTAAATTCCTTAAACTGTCTTATTTTTCAGGGCAACTGGGAAGAAAACAAGCCAAGCAAGATAATAGTAGGGACTAGAGGAGAGATAATATTGAAGAAATCTCTATCTCTCTAGCAAACTGATAGATTCACATGAACTGAGTTTGGCAGCGATGGCTACAGGCCTTTCTAGTCAGGCACAGCATAAAAGGAAAACATTAATACTAGGTATGAAACTCTGTTCCCTTATAAAAGTGTTTACCATTTCTTTTTTTTTTTTTCTTTCAGAGAAACATTTTCCCGTTAAGATATCTTATGCTGAATATCAACAGCAGTTAACTACAGACAACACAATTCAAATAACAGCTTTATGTCATGTAGAAGGTGGAATTCAAGTACTAGTGCAAAGAGACATTACTCTGGACAATCCTGCTATCGACATACAGGTGAATCACTGTCCTTTTACTCTAACTGCAGTGTAGGACATAAGGGAAAATGAGCTTTTATAAGTACTTCTTTCCCCAGAAAGGGATGTTCTACTCAGTTCTGCCTTGGTCTGTAGTAATGAGACACTAGGATGAGTGTCTCTTGTAATGCCTTAAGAGGCTTAGATTTGAAAAGAATACTGAGAGTCTGACCTTTTAAGCATTTTCCTTGTACAGGTACTTGGTGAAGCAAAAGTGAATAAAGAAGTTGATGTAGAAGTGGTATTTACCAATCCTATTAATGCAGAAGTGATGGACTGTGTGCTTCAGGTAGAAGGCAATGACCTGCTGAGAGGAATCCTTGAGATAGAGTAAGTACAAGAAGTGCCTTCTTCCTGCTATCAAAAATACATAAACCAAAACATAGACATGGATGACTTTGACCTGAACACTGAGATGACACAGAATTTTCTTCTTGCACATAGCTTTAAACCAGCTTTCCATCTCAATTAGGCTTTGGCTCCATAGTTTGGGAGCGTAAATAATTACCGTCATAATTTGACAGAACTTGTTTGCTTATCTATCTAGCAGGACCCCACAGTTTCAGCAAAATGTAAATGTATACCCATGCAGTGAATGTTGCTGAGGCTGGCTATGTTGCTATAGGCCAGATGGGTTAAACCTTCTTGTTTTGATCATAGGACCAGCAATAGACTATGGGCATTTCTGTCCAAACTATACTGTATTTTAACCAGGATATTTCCTCCCACTTTTTAAAATGGACTGCAAGTGCCAGTCTGATTGTTCAGCCTTATAAACAATTTGCATCTACATCACACAGACACACATGTAAAAAACATATCACAGAATTGTAGGGGTTGGAAGGAACCTCAAGAGATCATCATGTCCAACCCCCCTGCCAAAGCAGTTTCCCTAGAGCAGGTTACCCAGGTAGGCGTCCAGACGGGCCTTGAGTATCTCCAGAGAAGGAGACTCCACAACCTCCCCAGGCAGTTCTAGCGTTCCATCATCGTCACCATGAAGAAGTTCTTTTGCATGTTGGTGCAGAACTTCCTGTGCTCCATTTTGTGGTCATTGCCCCTTGTCCTGTCCCCACAAGCCACTAAAAAAGAGGCTGGCCAAATCCCTCTGTCTTCCACACTTAAGATATTTGTAAACGTTAATAAGGTTCCCCCTCAGTCTTCTCTTCTCAAGGCTGACCAGACCCAGGTCTCTCAGCCTTTTCATCAACATGCACCTGTGTCTCAGCTTTGTGAACAAAAATGAAACAGATTGTTTACAGATAGGTTGTGATCTCAAAGGGTGACACCTCTGAAAGATACAGCTCCAAGTATGCTCTGTGTATAGCTATTCCAGACACAATAAATCATGGCTAAGGAGGATTACCTTTATAGAATAGACTAAACCGTGGCCAGCAGCAACTTCCTAGATGATTGAATTTACTTGTCTAAGGCCTGGAACTTGAACACAACCTAAATCCCTGAGGCAGGCAGGAAAAGAATAGGGAAAATATTATAATGAAGGTTGCAGCACTTTGTTGTTGTTTTTAATATAATAAAAATGTTTTGGTGGTGGTGGTGTTTGTTTGTTTGTTTTTTAAGAAGTTTTTCAAAACAAGAATTACAAGTACATTGATTTACTGCTTTTAGAACTTTACAAAATAATGACATTGGGAGAGTAGAAAGGAAGGGCACACAGTCAGGACGCTATTAAATTGTATTGAGATGGGTAATGAGAAGACTGGAATAAAATAATTTCCTTTTACTATAGATTCCAGGTACCTGGAATATGGAAGTGTGCTCTTTCACTGAACACAAACACACATGCATGCTGTCAAACACAGCAATTTAGCATTGACATTTGTACTTGAGCAACTAGGAATGGTCTAGCCATAATTTATCATCTCTCCTGAGGGAATTTGGCAGCCCTGTGTTACATATCATATACAACTCAGGCAAGACAAAATAATGTCACATGGTAAGCCTGTTTTGTAAAATCATAAATGTGGGTCTCCCAGAATTTTAAAACATACTAGTTTAAAATATTTTAACTTCCATTTAGAATTTCCTGGTGTCTAAACACTTAGGTTTCCATGGTGCCACAATCTACTGGAATTTGAGAGTTTGCATTAATATATGCATCATGGTATTAGCTTGATCTTTTTAATAATTCCATTATGCCTTTTATGCCTCCTGTTCTGCTTGAAGTTTTAGCTCATATGATATTAGTGTGCTCCCACCTTCATCCCAAGTGAGCTTATTTGGATCACTGTGCAATGCTTTGTGAGAGAACACTTAATGCTTGAACTTGAGTATTTAGGTATTTATCAAATAGTTAAGTCCTCTACAGTCGTTTCATGACCATCCTACACTGAGCTGATGGGAGTGCTTACGTAAAATGGGAGCTGCCTATTGAGGAAATTCAAGCATGATTCAAGCCTATTTTCTGCTGATATTTTTCATTTTGTTTCCTAATTCTAGTGTACCGCCATTGAAAGCTGGTGAGAAGTCCAGTACAAAGTTTAAACTTACTCCTGTCGAGACGGGTTCCAAGCATCTACTTGTTAATTTCTCCTGTGATAAATTTTCAGATATCAAGGCTTTTAAGACTGTAAATGTGATTGACTAATAGGAAGATGCATTATAAATGGTCTGTGTCTCTCTAAATTGAACAAAATGTCATAAGAAATCTTGTATAAGAAAACCATGAGGAAAATAACAAAATCCTTGCTTTCCTGATAATGGGTTTCCAACTTTACATCATTAAAATTTTACATTGTAATTTTAAATAAACTTTGGAATAGTTGATTCTTCATTTACTGAAGTGAGTGTTCATGTTATTAAACAGAATATCTTACCTTCTATTCAGAGACTGCTTGTTTGACTTTCATCTGTTTATGTTTGGAAATCATTCTTTCTGGCTCCAGATGTTCCTACACAAGCATTCATAAATACATTTTTACATATTCAAACCTTATTCAGTGGACTTGCAAAGTGGTGCTTCCCCTTCACTGCAACCATGGAACAAGAAAGTAGCCAGGATTAGGTACATGATTTACATTACTTAACTTTTGTCTTCTTCTTTTTCTTTTTTCCACTCCTGTAAAGTCTTGTCACTGTAACTTGAGCACTTATCTAGATATGTTCTTTTATTTTTCTCCTTCTTTTTGCAAATCACATGACAGAAACATTCAAAGTGAATTTAGGATGATGTCCAATTTGAGAGCCATTTCATAAACAAATTGGGATAATTGACAGTTCAGTTGTTTTATTTTTTATTTTTTTCCCCTCACTCACTGATACTCTTCTTTGGGAATCAAAGGGAGAGTAATCTTAAGACCAGGGATATTTTACCTAGAGAAAAATTAGAAACTCTTCATTGTAGTTTGAGAGTCAGGAAGCCATCCCTTATCAGCAAATAATATTTTAAATACAGGGTCCGGATAATATCAAGGTTATCAGAATTCAGATTTAGTAAAGTTTACTTAAACCCTTTATCAGTAAATGGGTACAGACTGCAAGCATGGAGAAAAACAAACAAACAAACAAAAAAAATAGTAAGGGAAAGAATACTTTCAAATTTGTTTGGGTGTTGTGAGGCCCAAAAATGGTAGTAAAGATGTGTTCTTAATAAAAGGTGTCTTAGGCTTCATTTAAAACTTGTATAATTAACTTAACTATTGAATTCCTCATCTCGAGTTCCTATTGCTAAACAGTATGTATAATAGCAAATGTTCTTTCAACACAACTCTATCTGACAGGTGGAGAAGTACTTTGAGTGGGAACAAAAGCTAAAAGCTGGATTCCAGGACCTAGAGCTACATGTAGCCCCTGAGTGACTGGGTTTATGGATTATAAAATTATATAACAGTAAGTCAATATCTGACTGAAAATGAGCTGTGTAGATGAAGTGAATGGAAAGTCAAGCTACTGCTCTATTGTACTTGGACTGCAAGGCCAGGTGACTGGTAAACATTCAGCAAGAGTCTGGAGCCAGCTCTGTGCCCACACTTCCACCCCACAGCACAGAGCACGTGTGACTTTCAGTAGGAAATGCTCACTGTCACACGAGCAGCCATCACTCAGATTAGCTATAAACCCCTTGTGTCCTTTTAGCTTGCAAGAGTACTTTAGGAGGGCACTTGCAGTCACTTAGTCTTCCAGTGCCAGTCACATAACATCAGTATGACGGCATACAGGCTATGTAATGAGATGGACTACAGAGAAGCTGTACAAGCAAACCACAGTTTTTCTCCTGATGTTCTTCAAGGCTTGCCAGAGGCAAAAGCTCCCATCACATAGACCAAATGATGACAGTTCAAGCTCAAGCATAGCCTTACACTCACAATGCCAATATACTCTTAATGACTTCTTTTTGCATCCCTTTTATGAGTGAAAACCACCAGACTCTGCTAAGTCAAGTGATTTGCAGTAGCAGAAAAGACAGAATGTGGTGAATGGGACCTCTAGGTGAATTAAAGAAAGGCAACACCCTTCTCCTGTGTTAGTGCACACATGCTTAAAGTTGATGTGTCTAATTAAATGCGTACCTACTGGGATACAGACTCACAGAAAGGATTCTGCAACATTTCCATGGAAGTTATACTGATCTCTTTCTAGTAAAGACTAGAAACATTACAAGTTTAAGGTGCAATATGGATACTCTGAGGTTATGACACTGCAATACTTGAACAACAACTTATTAAGGAGGCAAGAAAAATATGAAATTATGTTTTCCTTGGAAAGTTGAAGAACTGCACAGAAGTTTCAAGGCTATGGAACTAGGGAAAAGAAGGAATAAAATATTTTGAGCCATTTGGGATTATAGGTGGGTGGAATTGGGCTACAAAAAACACCTGTGACACTATTAAGTCATTAGTTACATAGGAACCACGACTGCTGCATTCCAAAGGGATTACAAAAGCAGCTGCTGATGCTTTGGTGTGGTGAAGGTGCCAACCGTCAGGTGTCAATTTGGGATGTAGGCCACTCTGAAAGTTTCTGGTGGCTTGGTGAACACTGCTGTGGGTGTGTCATGCAGAGGTAAAGGAGGTGGCTACTGCTGAGACAGAAAAAGTGGCCTCAGATTTAATTGCTTGTATGACTAGCAAGGAAGAAGAAAGGAAATAGTCATGCTCCAGAGGGAGCAATGTGCAGTGTCTGAAGCAATCACTATAAGTACTGAACTTAAGAACTGGTCGATGTGGTTTATCACTAGGGCTGTGTGTAAAGATCAAGTAACATCAGAGGCTTGTGGCTCTTCTGGTTTCCAAGGAATACGAATTAAGGATAAGAGAAGAAGACCAACTAAAACAGATCTGTACAGCAATCAAATCTGTTCAAGATTCCTGAAACAAATTCTAAGAGACTGAACATCCCAGAAATTTCCAAGAAGAGGAAGGACCTCTGAGTTATAACGTAAGTGGCGATATACAAGGTCATAGCAGATACCATACTGTCAAATACGTAAAGATTTAGTGTTTTTCTTTCGAGACAGGTATATTCACAAAAAGATGTAAGAAGACTTTTTCTTTTTTTTTTTTTTTTTTTTTTAAATCTGCCTTAGAACAATTGTTAGAGCTCAAGTTCTACCTGTATTCTATTATTTCCTTTGTAATTGTAAAATTCAGACTACTTCGTTGTTGTTGAAGTCTTTACTGAGTACTAAAACAACCAGTGGAACTGTGGAATCTTAACCAGATAATTATTCATCCCCACAAAAATGTCACTTTATTACCTGTACACTTTTTAAGTAGACCTTAAAGTTTGCACTGACAGAAGCTACTTGTGCTCCATAGTTTTGCTTTTGTTTTGTTCTTAAGATTTATTTTTATTTTTTTTAAATAGATAATATGGAGCTGGCTAACAAATCAGGTAGACAGATATTTGTTCCAAGAGTGTAGGGGTTGAGTTAATTTGAGACAAAAAAAAAAACAAAAACTCACAGTTGTTAAACAAAACCAGAAGTGACATGAACCAAACTGGAAGTTAGGTAATCAGGAAATGCCTCTTTTCCTTCATGTGGTTCATATGTCCCACCACGCTCCCTGTTTCCTCATCCCTGAAGATAACTTATTCATGGCACACCTATTATTCTTTGTAGGAAGTTCTACTTGTCTTGGAATCCAAGAGAATGCATTTCCTCTGAGTAAATAATTTTGGTATCTCCTCCCATAATTACACCCACGTTGAGCAGTACCATTGGCATTAGATTTACATATATTATAGTAACTAGTCAATTCATTTGACAAGTCTACACGTATTAATAACAAGTGCTAAGTACCTATTCCTTCTGTTGAATTTCAGCTGACAGCACAAAAAGCTTGCTGGCTTTTTTCTTTTTATGATTAACGTGAATTGGACATCCTTGAAGAACAAAGTAGAAGGTGTATGCAATTCACATAAGCTGAGGGAATGGCAGGTGAGTTCTGTATGTCATTTGCTTCCCTTCAGCAAGTTCTTTGTTCGGGACTGTTTCTTTAAGATATATGCCCCATAGGTATCTGCATAGAGATGTCTTATCTAGAGGAAATTTTATATGGTAATTTATTCTTGCATTTCATCTCCAGTATTTTGTTGTTTTTATCAGATATGTTTGAAAGTAATTTTCAAGATTAGCACAAGATGTTGGGGGGGGGGAGGAGAGGGAAAGGAAGAAGAAAAAAATCCCATTTCTTCAATGTCACCACACATAAATCTAGCTAAACTCTTTATTTTTAAAATGCTATTTCACACACATCGTACTTTACACTAATTTTGTTAAAACAAAACAATCTATCTTAATGGAGCCGTGAGCATGGAGCCTATAGATGGGATTCAAAGAAGCACTGAAACCATACTCACGGAAAATGGTAGTGAAGAATATCTCTGCTTAGTATTAACAGAGCTCAAAATTAAGAATGACTGGTGACCTGAGCAATTGGAAAGCAGCTCTATCTTCTATTCAGTGATGAAAGAAACTTTTTCAAATCAGTTTTTAAAATGTTGTTTTGTGGGGTAAACAACAGCCTAATGCAGTTCCTGTTTGTCCAAGATATTAGTGCTAAAGATCGTCTCTTTCAGCCCATCAGAACTTACTCACTTTACTTCTATATGATCTTGGACTAAAAGAAAAAAAATCCTTATTTCTTGAATTATAGCACTTCACTTTTTTGGGAGATTAGTGAAGGAAAAAGACTGAAATTTAATTTAAAGGTTGTACATAAACTGTATTTTAATATGCAGTTTTATTGCTTCAGATCTGACTTAGTATTTCATTGCTGTGCTTTATGGTATATGACAGAGTTGGAAGCTTCTTTGAAGATCTCTGCCATAACACTGCATTGTGCCACAAACCTTAATCTGTCTCAATCCATCTGTTCTACTCATTTTTTTGTTGTTGTTTTCATTTGAGTTTCCTTTAAAATGGTAATGGTGGTGTCACCCCCTGCTCCACCCCCCAAAAAAAGCTCATTGCATCTGTGATATTAGCACTAAAAAATTATTTTGTAGAACCTTCCCCAAGGTATTTGCAATACAATGCCCCAGATGTACTCTGTGGAGTCTCATAGGACAAACACAGGGCCTCTCAGAGCTTCTAAAGGCAGTATAACTGCACCAGTTGGAGCATGGCAATAGAGCATGAGCAAGAGAAGGGAAAACACTCTTGGTAGGAGAATCATATAAATACTTGCTTTTATTTTGGCATAACATATAGGCTATATGCAGAATCATACGTGCTTAAATGCTAATACAACATTTAAGGTGACAAATGCCACTTTGTGGGTTTTAGACTGTAGACCATGATAACAGTATGTAGGGAGACATTCGATATCAGAGAACTGCAAGCACACCAAGTCATCAGAATTCCTCTAAGCCATAAGGGCAGGGTCTATGAGAACAGAAACACCAGCAGACCAGCTGTAACTTCGGGTGGAGCTATATTTAGTCAGATGGCTTTCTTTGTCAAAAGCTCCAAGGCATGTAAAAGACAGACTATCTCTCACTATGTATCCTTCCCTAATGTAGGCCAGATGGCACCAGAATGTAAGCAGGAAAACACCTCCTAGTAGCCATTTCTAGAATTATAAAAATGCATATGTTGAAAATGTAGAGGGGCTGCTAGCCACCTTATTTGGTGCCAACTTTGAAATGACTCTGATGTGCCTTTTTTTTTTTTAATCACAGTCCACTGATAAAACAGTATCTTATACTGTATATGAAGTAAATGAGTTCTTGGTGTATAACAGGGCAGTAACAAAACCCAAGCACAGTTGTGTTTGTTGTTTGTTTGTTTTGTTATTGACCACTAGACTTAATTTATTTGACCATCTACTCTTTATCCATCCTTTTTCCAGTAAAAGATAACTGCTGCTAGCAATCTCATTGTTCCACCTGGAATAAGTGGCTTCTTTCCACACTGGCTACTTTTTAATGTCTTCTCTTATTTTACAGATCTGACACCAACACATATCAGCTGGCAGCCATCAGTAAATGCAGGTGCACACCATACTGACAGATATGCTAACACTGAGTTGACTGTGAGGCGAGGACAAGCCTTCACTATTACTTTGTACTTCAACAGACCAAAGCAGCCTGGGGAGAGCCTAGCCTTCGTCACTGAAATAGGTAACACTCCCTTAGCTTTCTCCATGCTCTCATAGAGCTGTAAGTGTTTATCCCTTTTAGCTTCCCCTTATTCTGTTTAGAAATTTGATTTTTCTTCATGTATTTCTAATACTCCCCCTGCTCCGCCCCCTCCCCGCCCCCAAAGTGTGCTCATTTCGAGTGTGAGATTAATACTGAAACCACACTCTATAACGCAAATCAATCATCCCTTCTTTCTGGCAGGGCCATCCCCCTCAGAATCTCACCATACAAAGGCTGTGTTTAACCTCTCTGAGGTGGGTGCAAGTGGCTGGAGTGCTGTCCAAGGATCCAGTGAGTCTGGCTACACTACTTTTACAATATCTAGCCCAGCCAATGCCATCATCGGACGATACAATCTCATCCTCCAAGTAACCTCAGGGAACAAGATCTTCTCCAGATTCCTGGGGCAGTTTGTGTTGCTTTTCAACCCTTGGTGCCCAGGTAGGTACTGATGCCGTAGCTCTTGAACGTAACTCAATTATTTGCTTTCTTATCTGCATGGTAATCTTGGTCCCTCAAGTTGTGTCTCTGGGGGCAGCAATCTTAGCCATGTGCTCACGGATCTGTTTTAACTGCATTAAAAATGCACCAGCCCTCCTCCCTTCCCCCCATTTATTTTTTCATTAAAGGGAATGTGCTGTAGAGGTGAACATCAGACTCTTTCTTCAGGACTGAGCAGATGACTTTTTCTGTAGATGAGGGCTGAGAGACTTTCATAAGCACATGTACATTTCAGAGCAAGCATTTCAGAGCAGAGCAGAGCAAGTGATGTCCTTCACTTGCACCTAAATCAAAGCAAGTCTGCTTTTGTAGATGTTACCTACAAAGATAATAGCTCAACTAGCATTATAAACTGATAGAGGGCTAGTGTGAGGAAGATCGGTATTTCCCATATCTTTCATCATGGGTTAAAAATGGACATCTCTTAGCACTCCCATTTTTTATTTCTGCAGCCTTGGCATATTGCATAGGAAATGCAAGTTCTTAAACTCTGATTTTGCAAATACAAGAAAGAAACCTAGATTAGCCCTAAACTATACCACTTTGGAGTTAAAGACTTCTTATCCAGCCAACTGACTATACAGCTTATGTAAGAAGAGAGAAGTTACCACCATCATCTGCTGTTTTCTTCATGTGATCAGATGTTAGTCAGGGTCCACTAAGAAGTATGTCAAGAGCCAAGATTAAAAAATAATAAACTGCTAATTAGTTTGGCATGTCTTGGAAGACAGAAAATAATTATATTGAGGAAACTCAGGCTGTATCTGCATGGACAGTCCTGAAGAAAAAAAGAAAAAGAAAACTTCTGTAGAACCTCCTGAAAAATCATTTGTTGCATAACTTCTAAATTGATAGGAACCACACTGCAGGGACATTAAAATTGTCAGTTTTTGACAGTGCTATCTGTAAGACCAGACAAACTGTTGCTAGAGGAAAACTGAGAAAAAGGAAGCTATGACCTTACATTTTGAAGCTAATGATTTTGCAGAAGAATCCTCCAGATTTATCAGACAGCACAATGACCACTGCCAAATAAAAAGGGAGCATCCTTAAAGTAAGATGTGGCTGAACAAGCTTCTGCGAAGCATAATAGCTCTCTGATCCTGACAGACAGGAACACATTCACTTTGTGGATATGTTACCACTATAAAGTAATTGTCACAGTAGAAAGGATATAGAAAAAAATATGTTCTCAAAGGATAAATGGCAGAAACGGTCTGTATATAGTGTTCCACATGGGAGCTTAGTCACTAGACTGGAAAAGACAGGGATTAATTCATAAACTGTAGTATCAGTAAAGAACTACCTAAAACTAAACTGTCAGGACTATAGATGAATGGAAAAGCACTGGGTTAGAGAAAAGCTGCTAATGGATCTTTAAGCGCCATCTGAAAGGACACACTCATCAAAAGCTTCATTATTGACTTTGTTATGCTGGCAATAAGTGGCATTGTTCATAGACTGGGACACCACAAAAATAACTGGATGACCTTAGGGACTGGAGTGCTAGAGAAGGGATAAGGTGTAATAATAGGAAAAAAGACCAGGGAGAAGTAAGAATTCCAATGACAGGCTCGCCAGCTGGAAATCACATGTAACGTGAAAGTACTTTTTAATCAAAGGATGAGAACCCCAGTGAAGTGGCTCTGAAAAAGGCAAATGCAATATTAAGCTGGGTAAGAGGAAACAGTCCCTCTGATATGTAACTATTAATGGCATTGCACAAGGAGGTAGTGTGATCTCACTTGAAATATTCTCAGTTCATCTTTCATGAACAAGAATTATGAAGTATAACAAGTTCAGAGCAGGGTTACTATCATGACTGAACGCAAGAAAAACCTTCTGGATAAAAGAACTACTTTAAAATTTTTAGTTTAGCAAGCAGAAAGCAATTCATTTCACAGGTTGTATATCTGAAGTAAGCACAGAATTTGGACACAGAAAACACTGATCTTCCTACAATGGTAATAAGCCTATAAGCTTAATAATTCAATTCAAGTATTTGTTTCAGACCTGTAGATAAAACAAAAGTGATGTTTCAGCGTTAAATGTCCTTTTGAGACTTTAGTAAAAGCAAACAACTTCTTTAAGATACGTGCAAGCCAGCCTTTGATGATAATGCATTATATCCTGATGCTATTGAAGGAATGTACAGTCAACTACTAGAATAAGAAGTGAACAGCTAATCATGGAAACCATTTCCAGGTACATGAAGGAGAAGATCATCATCAGGAGTAGTCAGCATGGATTCACTAAGGGGAAGTCATGACCAAACCAATAAGCTTCTGTAATGAAATCACTAGTCTGATGGATGGGGGGTGAGGTGGGGGGGGAAGTAGTGAATGTCATCTTCCTGAACTTCAGTAAGGTCTTTTAGACTATCTTTAGACTATCACCTATAAGATCCTCATAGAGAAGCAGTTGAAGTATGTGAAGTATGGGATGGATGAACAGACAGTGAGGTAGATTGAAAACTGGCTGAACTGCCTGATCCAGAAGGTAGTAGTCAGTGGTGCAAAGTGTAGTTAGAGGCCACTAACAAGTGGAGTACCCCAGGTGTCAATAGTAGGCCCGATCTTTTTTTTAAACAACTTCATTAATGATCTGAATGATGGGGTAGAAGACACCCTCAGTAAACTTGCAGAGAGCACAAAACTGGTAGGAGTGGCTGACTCACCAGATAGTCATGCTGCTGTCCAGAAGGATCCTGACAGACTGTAGAGGCAGGCTGACAAAAACCTCATGGAGTTCAACAAGGAGAAGCACAGAGTCCTGCACCTGGGGAGGAACTCCAGGCACCAGGGCACGCTGGGGGTCACCCAGTTGGAAAGCAGCAGAAAAAGACCTGGGGGTCCTGATGGACACCAAGTTGGACATGCGCAGCAATGTGCCCATGCTGCTAAGGAGGCTAAAGGTATTTTTGGCTGCATTAGGCAAAGTATTGTCAACAGGTCAAGAGAGGCGATTCTTCGCCCTCTGCTCAGCTTTGGTGAGGCCACACCTGGAGTGCTGCATCCAGTGATGGGCCCCCAGTACAAGAGCAATGTGGACATACTGCAGATAATCCAATGTAGGGCCACCAAGATTATCAGTGGAGCACCTCTCCTGCGAGGAGAGGCTGAGAGAGCTGGCATCGTTCAGCCTGGAGAAGAGAAGGCTCAGGGGAGATCTCATCAATGCCTATAAATACCTGAAGCGAAGGTGCAAAGAAGATGGAGCCAGGCTCTTTTCAGTGGTGCCCAGTGCCAGGACAAGAGGCAATGGGTGCAAACTGAAAGTAGACAGGAGGTACCATCTAAACAGCAGGAAGCACTTCTGTGCTGTGCGAGAGATGGAGCACCGGTATAGGTTGCCCAGAGGTGTTAGAGACTCCTTCTTTGGAAATTTTTAGAATCCATCTTGACAACCTGTTCTAGGTATCCCTGCTTGAACGGGGGGGTTGAACCAGATGACATCCAGAGGTCCCTTCCCCAATTTAAATCATTCTGTGAAATAAATTGCACGTTATTTTTACTTGCAGGGAGGGAAGGGAGTTCCTTATAAGAAGGCAAAGAAATTGACTCAGTAAAATAGAAAACTTATTTATGATTTTTTTTTTTAAATTAGGAGATTTTATATAGCACTAAATAGATAGTGCTAACCTAAAGAGAGGAGTCTAACCTAAAGAGACTGCTTTCATAGCAGCTACATACTGTGTCATAGACTAGGGCAACCAATGAACAACAATGAAAACAAATTGAATGGTTCAGCAGGATATCCTAATAACATTTCTGATAGTGCTTTGGACTCTTAAAACAATGTTAACATCACTAGAAAATAGAGTAAAATATCACTATCATCTGTATGATTGTTTTCAAATGTGTCTTCTGCTTGTAGCTCACTGCTTTATTGGAGCAGTTAACTTGGACATTTCTCTATCTTCTCCACAAAACTACAACATAAAGACAAGGAACACTTTTATAATATAAAAAGGCTATGCTAAAAATTGGGGGAAAGGGTCACAGTAATATACCATGCATTTCCTTCCCTCCCTCTGACCCCTCCCTTCCCCCATCAGTAACTAGGTATTTTCACTGAAATGTACACGTCTAAGGAGTTATAGCAATAAGATACTGTTTTTCAAATAGTAAAGCTACTTCCTCATGTTAGGTCAAGATAAAGTTGTTTGTTTGTTTGTTTTTTCCAAGATTACTAGTGTTCCCAGCTTTAAGTGTAAAAGCATGTCCAAATTTGTTTTCAGGTGATGCTGTCTACATGGCTAATGAAAATGAGAGACAGGAATATGTTCTAAATGAAAATGGAATTATCTTTGTGGGCAATGCAAAGTACATTGAAGCAAGAGGATGGTACTATGGACAGGTAAGCTGTAAGGAATTAATCAGGACTCGCATTCTATCTCCAATATCATTTTCTCTTACCGCTGTTTGCCTCTTTGATAAGTATACATATGTATACGGAAACTGGACAAACCTGGTTGGCTCTATTTGTGGTTTGCTCACTGCGCACCTTGTAGGACTTAGGTCTGAGAGATGACTTAGCACAGCACTGCAGCTAGGACTGACTTCTACATGTACCATGGGCCTCATCTGTGATCAGAGCATCCACAGTACGACTGAAAATATACTAACGTGGATCCAAGACACCCACTGTTTTTTAATGCAGCTACAATGGGCTAGAACCAACATTGATACAATTCCAATAACTGCAGACAGAATAAGCTTGCCAGATTCAGTTTTACTGCGGTCATTTTTTTTCCTGACAGCCAAAGACACTATGCCAGACTTCTGGTTTGTTTAGTTATCCCTAGCTTTAGCCAGTATTGCAGCATGAACCAACCACACACTACCATCTTTGTGCCTCACTATTCCTGCCACTTTTGAGCTGAAATAGTTGGGAAAAAAAAAAAAAAAAAAAAAAATCAAGTGGAATCTCCCCTAATTTTGTTAGCATAACTATTTATTTCTTAAACATTTCTCCTATCTGATCACAGTTTCAAGATCAGCTTCTAAACATCTGTCTCACCATGCTTGATCTGAGTCTGTACTATCGTCAGGACCCAGCCATTGATGTATCCCGAAGAGGAGATCCTAAATATGTGGGCCGAGTAATCAGTTCTATGGTAAGAAATGGACAACTTAGTCTAAACTCTACACACAGAAAGCAGTCTCTACCCCAGTGAGACTTAACCACCTGATCCTTGAGCAATGTAATTGAAAAAAATAGATATGGTGCATTACACACAGCTGATTTTGCCCATTCTGTCCATTGGCCTATTTTTAGATCAATGGAAATGATAATGATAATGGAGTTCTCCTTGGAAAGTGGCAAGGAAGTTTCCATTCACATGAGAATCCATCCAGATGGGATGGCAGTGTGGTAATCCTCCAGAAATGGCGTCAGGACAACTACAAACCTGTTCAATATGGCCAGTGCTGGGTTTTTGCAGGTGTGATGTGTACAGGTAAGCTTTGAGAATAAAGGACTATGGTGAAATGGAGGCAACACATGACCTGTGGTTTTGTCAGAACTACAAAGCAATTAATTCTACAAGAGGAATAATGTTTTGAAGACTGCAAATGCTGAAGAACCACAACATATTTAGAAACAACTTTGTTTCTAAAATATTTGTAATCACTGGAGTTTTTTGTTTTGTTTCTACTGTATTTCAGTTTTGAGGTGCTTGGGGATTCCAACTCGTTTGGTTTCAAATTTTAACTCTGCCCATGATGTGGATAGAAACCTCAGCATTGATAAATACTATGACAGCTCCGGGAAGAGTCTTAACATCAGCAAGGATTCCACATGGTAAACTTAAGTTTTTGCATCTCACTCACAGTTAGAGAGAGGATTTATGAGATCAAAAAACATGAGCATTAGTAGCACAACAGCAACAGAATGGATATTTATTAATTTAGATGTTTGTATTCGACTAGCCACCCATTTGGAAAGAAACCATATTGCACAGATTTTGGGTAACATTTACTTCAGACAAACAAACAGTTTTCTTGCAACCCCAGACCTCAGACTAGTTGCAGCTTTTTAAAGAAAAATGTACGTTTCCATTGAGAATGTACCAACTTCAGAGGCTTTGATTTATTTACCCTTAATCAGACTGTCCCTAATAATGCAGCTATGTACCTTCCATGATCCTAACTAGTTTACTGCTGCAATAACTTTTCCATTACATATCCAAAGCCTGTGTTTCTCAGATTGGCCTGCCATTCTCCTCAGGGAGATAGGAGCCTCCCCAGGAAATTTCCCAGTACTTCTTTAGCTGTACCTTCCTTTTATGGGAGCTGTAAGAGAACAATCCCAACACTCTCCAGACTTGATTACTGAGGCATTGTAGTCCAGTGCTGTAAACTGTAAAGTGATCTACGATCATGACTCAAGTCACAAAATTTGATTAGCCAAAGAAACTTTTTTTTGCATATTATACCATTTTATACTTTATTTACCCCCCAATTTCAAATTAGAACGTGAATTAACTACAGCCATTTACCCAAGGGTATATGACATAACTCTGTCTTTTTGTGCTTAGCCAAAATTTTACTTTCACGAAGTGTGTTGGTTTTTTTCCCCACTGAGTGTATGTGGCTGAACAACATGGGAAAACTTTCCATTCCTTAACTTCCTTAAAAGCATTGGCCTCAGAACAATGCAGACAAAGCATCTTTTCTGGGTCCTCCTGTGACTTACAATTAACCAATCCTTTGTGCTATCCTGGAGAAAAGGAGGCTCAGGGGCGACCTTATCGCTCTCTACAGGTACCTCAAAGGAGGCTGTAGTGAGGTGGGGGTTGGCCTGTTCTCCCACGTGCCTGGTGACAGGACGAGGGGGAATGGGCTTAAGTTCCGCCAGGGGAGTTTTAGGTTGGATCTTAGGAAGAACTTCTTTACTGAAAGGGTTGTTAGGCACTGGAACAGGCTGCCCAGGGAGGTGGTGGAGTCACCATCCCTGGAAGTCTTTAAAAGACGTTTAGATGTAGAGCTTAGGGATATGGTTTAGTGGGGACTGTTAGAGTTAGGTCAGAGGTTGGACTCGATGATCTTGAGGTCTCTTCCAACCTAGAAATTCTGTGATTCTGTGATCCTGTGATCCTTTCCTTTGGCCTGTGGAACTCAAGGAGGTTTTAAACAGAACAAGAGAGATTCATAGAGAATAAGATAACTCATAACCATTAACCGAGTGGTCTCAACTGACTGCTAGAAAGCAGTAGGACATATCATGGCAGGGGTCATTCAATTCACATACTCTTCTTAGCTTGTTTCTAAAAATTTCCTGCTGCACACTACTAGAGATGCACTATTGTACTTTGTTAATGTTCCATTTTATTCTATTATAGCTTTGTTAAATTTCTTTTAAAACTTAGCAACTCCCACATTTGAAGGTTACTGAGCCCAATCCCCAAATGTTGCCTATATCCACAGCCTAAATCTTTCATATCATTACAAAAGCAAGCTGTTGACTTCTGTTTGTTATTGTTGTGGGTTTTTGTTGTTTACTGATTTGTTTACTCACAGAGGCCTACACCTCAACAGCAAGCAGTGAATTTGTACTTTGAGAAAGGCAGTGAGTTGTCTCTGGACAGCCTGTATCACATTTTAGGGAATCTTTAAAGAACACTGTTCCCTCCTCCTTTCAAATTGGAAGTTTGTATGCCTCTATTATTACCACGCTTTCTAGACACTGTTCTTTGTCTCCAGGGACTATCATGTCTGGAATGAAAGCTGGTTTATTCGCCCAGACCTAGGAACACAATACAATGGATGGCAAGTTTTAGATGCGACTCCGCAAGAACAAAGCAAAGGTAACTGTATCATGACTTAATATTGCTTCTCCAAACTAAGCATGACTAATGAAGTTTGATGCTTTTTTTCATGTTATAGGATTATTCCAGTGTGGTCCTGCATCTGTCATAGCCATCAAAGAAGGCGATGTAGACTTGGATTATGACACATTATTTGTATATACAGAGGTGAATGCTGATTGCAACAGATGGATAGTATACAATGATGGAACTAAGAAAAGAGTTTATTGTGATACTGAAATAATTGGCAGGTTTATCAGCACCAAAGCTGTGGGCAGCAATTCCCGTGTGGATGTGACTTATAACTACAAATACCCAGAAGGTAAAGGAAGAGTTTATCACAATTCATCTCCTACAGAATTCTTGGCGGTAGGCAGCTAGGATGGGTAGCCTGTTTTGCTTGGGCATCTCTAATTCCTTTAGAAAATATTTTCTACTTTCCTAATACAGTGTGTATTATATTTATGTTTTTGTATACTTGGTAGCTTCCTTGCTAAGGCACAGCACAAAATATACTCTAGTCTCTCACAGAAAATTACAAAATGAAATGTATACAGAAAACAGGGCTATAAATTATGTTTTAGTACCCAAGGCAGACAAATTCTCAAGCTGTCATACAAAGAGTGCACAGGACTGTAATATGGGAGTTACAGATCGATAGCAGCTTTCTGGTTTATCTGGCAGATGGACTGGGACAACAATCAAACCTCTAATCAAAAGCTTTAAACTAGTCCTAACACTAGACACCTATCATCTCCCATATGACCACATACTCAGACTCATTCTTCCCTGCCGTGTCTGTTCCAATACTTTATGTTTCGTTTTGAAGATGCCACTATACTCTGCTCCCAAGAGTGGTGATTTACTTGGTTTCCCTCTCTTGCTAATACACTAAACTATGCTCTTTTGAGTTTCTGCTATGACATCCAGCCATCAGCTAACAAGCTGTTCAGCTGTTGTGTGTTTCTACTCCCTGTAGACTCAGTCTACACGGTATTGGATTCTAGAAATAGAACTAGTAAAGGGAATAATTGCCATTCACCTGTACTTAGGAAAACAAAGCAGCAAGGTTTAAAAAAGGCCTAGTCGTGTTTGCAAGAATATTTTATCTTCCCTTAAACACTCGGTATCTGTCTTTTCATAAGAGTTGAGGCTTGCCAATCAGAATCAGTGGCCATATTTCAATATTCCAGTCCACAAGCTTTTAGTGCAACCATATTTAATACAGAGGCTGGTTATCATCAGATTAGCAGAGTGACACTTATCACACTACTCCATATTCTGACCAAAGAACAAGAAATCTTGCAGTACAGAGTTGACATCCTGTGTCATTCTGATAGTCTTTAAAAGTTCAATGGAAGAAAAAAGCCTGAATCTGACTTGGTTCTCTCCTTCAACTAGGTTCTTCTGAGGAAAGACGAGTTTACAAAAAGGCTCTGGCCAAGATATTTGGATCGAACATCACAGAAGGACACACTGAACCTCCACGTGAAAGATCTTCAGAGACCGTTAGAAAACCTGGGATCTCTGGGAAG